GTATTGTATTGTTATTTTCAATGAATTAGAAGCAAGTAATAATCAACTTTGAAATCCACGGGTAGATTACATCAATATTAATAAACGATTCCACATCACACTTTCTATTTGATGATACGATTATGGTCGTAACCTGAATGATGATAAAATTAGATAAGAAACAATCCTCTTAATAATAGTTGAGCATCAACTTCAAAAGGAAGTAACTTTTATTGTAAAGCTGGCGAAGCTGAAGAACTGAACACCAACAGCTGGAGATATTGAGTTCTTAAAGGCAACTTTGATAGTCGAGTCGATAAAATCGAAGAACTTGAACGGCCACAGCTGGAGATTTTGAATTCTCTGATGCAACTTTGATAGTCGAGTGGAAATAGCTGAAGAACTGAACTACCACACCTGAAGATCTAAGGCAATTTGGCAGTCGAGTCCACAAAGTTGAAGCACTGAACAACCACAGTCGGAGATCTTAAATTCTCAGAGGCAACTTTGGTAGTCGAGTCGATAAAGCCGAAGATTTTGAGCAACCACAACTGGAGATCTTAAATCCTCAGATGCAACTTTGATAGTCGAGTCGACAAAGCTGAAGAACTGAACAGCCACAATTGTAGATTTGTCGACATCCACTAAACTTAATAATATCTAGATTGATCTCATTTTGATAGCGTAGCAATGAAAGCAAGAACTCGAACAAGACCTGATCTCGCACCAACAAATCTTGAAGTTGGAAAAAGTCGGACTGACTTATAAACTGAATCTGAAAAAAATGTTTGTATAATTGATTAATACAATTACTATTAGTTAATTATTAACTTATGTATTATAATTACTATTAGTATATTATGTGTGTCGTACGCAAACTACCATGACCACATAAGAAATACTATAAATTATAATTAGTGTATATATAGCAACCAAACACGGAAGTTACATGAATATGTCATTACCATAGATATTTAATTAGGAATCGATAAAAAAAATAATGAAAACACTTTTAGTATTTTCTTGTAAAATAAAACGAAGTTCATCACATCATTGTCTGTAGACTTAATTAATGCGTTAAGTAAATAATAAGTGGTTTAGTAAGTGCTAAAACCAGTTTGTGGATTAAACCTACCGGAGTTGACATTGTAGTAGTGAAAAATACTGGAGTGTAAGTTGCACCTGAGGAACCAACTCTTCCCTGTACACAAAATAGAAATACATAATTTTAGACAATTAAGGTCGCATATAGAGTGTCGCTGTATATGTACAAGTCCCCTTTGAAAGGCACTTTAACCTTAATTTCAATAACAATTGCAATTATCAAAATAAATCTAATTTTGAATGATTTAAACGTAATCGATGTTATGCGCAGTTACGAGACTGTACAAGAAAACATTTGCTTAGAGTCAAAAATACAAAACACTGATATAGGGAATAGCTTTTAATTATTTAATTGAAATACTAGACAGTTAAAATATGTTTAACATTGCCTCCATTGAAATTGGGTGATTTTTTTTTTAGAATGAGAAACTGAATACTTGAACGTCGAAAGTTTAAATTCGATGATTGAGAACCCTAAATATTATAACTTATTAGCGAAATGTGATAATAATTTGAAAAAATATATTCAGCAATTCAATAATATCAATTGTTGTTATAAAATCGCCATCACTTTTCACTTATTAATTAATAAGTTAAAATATACAGTTATTAATCAAATATAAATTTAACTTACCAAAATGGTTTGTAAATGATCAATAGTATCCTGTACAGCGTCTATACTTTCCGCAGTTGGAACTCGTGTACTAGTATAAGATGTGGTAATATTATCTAAAGTATCCTTGTATTGTTGTAGGACGTCGTTATGTTTAACCATACGGGTAATTGCTGTCTGTTGAAAAAACAACTAGTGTTAAATTGCGTTTATTGTAAAACAATTTGTATATACTAGACAAACACAAAGCGGGAAATCTTTTCATTATTTGTGGCAAAGACAAGCCAAACCAGCCACTGGTAACAAAAATCGATTTTTAGTTATTAATACATGGTTAAGTAGTAAAATGAGAGCTATAAAATGGTAAAAGAATCATTTAAATCCAACATTTCCTTATGAAGTTACAAGCATTCAAACATAGAGCTGTTTAAAGAACAATATTTTAGAAATCAGCCTTTAAAGTTTATGATTTCGGGAATTTCTCAGGCAGAGACCATCTCCAAATCGTTAAAATGTGTTGTTTTAACATTGAAAATTGGGAAAATAATAGCAGGGCATGATGTACGGTATAAATGTATAAAGGTTTGTTTAGTGCAATAAAAATAGATTTCAAAATGTTGACATTCTAGCATGTTTTGGCCATTAACTCTGAAACACGAATTGCGACGAGTGACTGGTTTGGTTTGTCTTTGCCACTTTTCATTGCATAGAAAACATAAATATGTATTCACTTTTTTTTACTAATCTTTTTATAGTATATTATTATTATTTTTATTTTCTTACAACATTTTCGATAAATTTTGAATGGCCGCACCACAGCTTGTAGTTAATTATGTGTCTGGAACTAGACTATCTGTGCTTTTTTTCTATCCCAAAGTACATATTCTATGTAATGTTGGTTGATGTGTAATAAAGAACATTTTATTTATTTATATTATTTTATTCAGCTTTAGGCACTAGAGCCAAGGATATGTCAAACAGTGAACGTAATCACTCTTCAAAGTAACAATTCTATCACAAGACAACAGGCGAATCGACCTTACATAGTATTCGGTGTCTTGCCATCGCACCTAAAAAGCGTATATACATAATGTCTATTATCTATATGGGTATTCAACATTTTAAAACTTTTAACAACTTACTGCATTGCATATGTTTTGTGGACAGTCAACAAGTGGCGTTACAAGTCTACGCATATTAGCCTGTATGCTACTGGTATAGTTGGCTTGGAACTGTAAGAAAATAAAATAGTGTATGTAAGGCTATGTATGCATCTTGAAGTCTATATATGTGTACATTATACACCCGGATTCGAACCCGTACCTTAACCAACTGGCCTACTAGAAATTTGTTGGAAGTTTGAATCTTATTGGAGCCATCTCATTTCTCCATTTTTCTTCTTTCCATTTTCACTTTAGTGGGTGCAAAAATATCAACACTTGGAACAGTTTGCCAGTCATACCCCTTTATCTCATTTAAAACCACAACGATCATGTCACATTTAGACACAGTACTATTAAATTAATACTGATATAGGCACATTGTCCATTCATTAGTTCAAAGTTTTGGAACTTCTACTCACCGGATCTGTAGCGTTAACTATTTCGCATTGTAGTGAATTTGTTAAGTGATACAGCTTATCATACTCTGTAAACGTGAAGTCCTGTCCACCGGGCGTTGTTGAAATCGAACCCAGCAGGAAAAAGTACATTCCTAATAATAATAATAATAATAGAAAAAAATTAGCATAATTGATAAGCACACCCATATATGACATTTTCAATAATGTACATTGAGTTACCTCTATGATGTAAACGTATCCAACATAGCCCTTTATTGAAAATGTTTGCTTCATTAACATTAACAAGTAACATTTTAGTGTGTTGACTAAACCATTGTAGAAAATATCGCATAACGTATACATTAGCTTCTACCAACCTAGCTTCCACCATACATAGGTGGTAAGTTGACAAATTAAACATGCACTGAAGAAATTGATTATTGGACTTTGAGAATTCTTCATATTCAGTTCTTTAGGCCAAGAATTACCAACATTTCCAGCCTAATATTGAAATTTAACCTTATAATATATTGATTGAATTGCATATTAACTCATTTTAATTTTTTTTTTTTTAAGTCCACTAAAATATGTTATAACCCTTTTGATGAACACCATAACACCAAAGTTGTAAGCTGTTTACTAAATAATGACAAAATGGTGATTCCTCAATTTGATGTGTATAGGGCGTTGCTTCTTCGCGAGTTAACCCCTCAAACGAAAATTTCTAATATTTATTGTTGCAATTCATTAGTTTCACTACGATATAATGTTTTTTAACGTCAGTGTTTAAAAAATAGCTTTTGCAATCATGCCTACTTCTTCAAATTTAAATCTTCATATTTTTGTATTTTTAACATTTTGTTCTAGCAAATAATTCCGGAAAATAGCCCAACTATGAATTCAAACAAGCAACTGGCGAAATACGTTAACTATTCTTATGTTTCTCTCTGGCGCACCCTAAGTTTATGATATGTGAAAAATATGTGCAGTACACATGACTATTAGTATAATAAGAATAATATGAATAATCAATTTGTATTTTATCATATATAATCTTAAAGGCAAATACCGGAAGACAACAATGCTTTGGGACAAAATGGCTATATCTGGGTTGAGATACAAAATTGATACGGTAGTCGAAAGCTATATGAGCCGAACTTAAACAGGCAGAAATCGAACCATACATATTATATATATACATATATATATATATATATATTTATATATATATATATATATATACACACTATATACGTTTCGTCAATATAAATACCGGCTTTACTCGAGTAACATTATTTGATTATATTTTTGACATCCGTCTAATGAGTGTCTCTGCTGGCCGTACGAAATAAATTTAAAGTCGAGCTTGAAAGTACGAAGTAAACATGTTTGCCCTCGTTATCCAAAGAGTGTAGCCTATGTTTTAAGTATATGTGTATGTATGTCTATAAGTTCAGGCATATATGTTTTATATACCTACAAAGTTATCGTCGACCGTGTTATACAACTTTCTGGGTGCCTCTAAACGAAATTTTGTTCGGCTAATATCGATCGGGATTTCACACTCATCCAACGTCTTACTATTCGCAATCTATCTGTAGAATAAAATTTAAAGAGTTTGTATTGACTTACCTTGAAGTATTTCGATAACACTCATGATGGTTCCTACTAGCAGGAGTTACTTGATTCAAGATGTAAAGTTTGAGTAACGCTCTCTGTTTATATACCACCCGTCTTCGCCCAATTGCAAAACCAGCACCCGTCGTAAGATTTATTGTTAACGCCATATCCACGAATCTGATAATTGTATATGATTAATTGGCCAATATTGCTTTGTGACTTTTATAATTCTTAAATACGAAGAATCGCAATCGTTTTCACTGACGACAAAAATAACTTTCGAAATAGTGGCACATATCTTGTGACCTCTTAATATTATCCGAATTCCGGTATTTGTAGGTGTGGTGTTGATGGTAGCACTGCTGTACCTAAAACAAGACCGTCGATACTTTGGTATATACAGGTTAATCTTTGCCCATTGTCGTCATCATTGGTGTTACTAATGGCAAACAAGTCTGTGATTGGGTTATTTGCAAAATCTGTATGCATCTCGTTTCCAGGAATTACCGGTACTAGATGGAGATAAGAATATACGTAATCGAAACAGAAAAAAAAAACAAATCTAACATAGATATAACTATCTGCGTCGACGAGCAATATATCGCCGTAAGAATATTGTCAATTGCCGTACGTTGATGTTATGTCGGCTTCCGATCTGTAATGGCATTACACATCATGAAATAATGTATTTTCAAGACACTAATTGCACATTAGTTTGACTGAGGTTTTCATTTAACACTTTTTACATTAAGCAGAATTCAGTTGCGTTGGGAAAGTCCCACTCGAGTACCACGAATATTTTCAGTCTTTTATTATTTTAACTTAAAAGCCTACCTAAATATATTTCGGTTATAAATATTCTAATAGAATAGTAATTGCTATAATCTAAATATTTATGACGTAGTAAAGTAATGTAGACAAGATGTAGACAGAGATAGCAACTTAGAATAGTTGGCTAAAATGGTAGTAGCCACTCTGTGTCTGACCATATAAAATATATACATTCTTAATGGTGTGCCGAATTTTGGGGATTTTTGCATAAAATGGTCTCCGATTCAATGTTGTGCACTGCTCTCCATATTTCAGAGACTACGCAAATGTGTAATGGTTAATATACATAATAACAAACGCAGAATACTTTTGTTACTTTTATTTTTTTATCATCCCGTCCAAAAACAAATACAAAATTAGTCCATTTATTAGTGAAAACACAACAGATACATTTTTTTATTACTATGATATCATTATATATATATATATATATATATGTATATATATATATATATATTATTATTATTATTATTTATTTATTTATTTATTTATTTATTTATTTATTTATTTATTTATTTATTTATTTATTTATTTATTTATTTATTTATTTATTTATTTATTTATTTATTTATTTATTTATTTATTTATTTATTTATTTATTTATTTATTTATTTATTTATTTATTTATTTATTTATTTATTTATTTATTTATTTATTTATTTATTTATTTATTTATTTATTTATTTATTTATTTATTTATTTATTTATTTATTTATTTATTTATTTATTTATTTATTTATTTATTTATTTATTTATTTATTTATTTATTTATTTATTTATTTATTTATTTATTTATTTATTTATTTATTTATTTATTTATTTATTTATTTATTTATTTATTTATTTATTTATTTATTTATTTATTTATTTATTTATTTATTTATTTATTTATTTATTTATTTATTTATTTATTTATTTATTTATTTATTTATTTATTTATTTATTTATTTATTTATTTATTTATTTATTTATTTATTTATTTATTTATTTATTTATTTATTTATTTATTTATTTATTTATTTATTTATTTATTTATTTATTTATTTATTTATTTATTTATTTATTTATTTATTTATTTATTTATTTATTTATTTATTTATTTATTTATTTATTTATTTATTTATTTATTAACCAAATCAACAGCAGACACAAATCCGCCACTTACAGAATGGTACAAAAGACAGGAAACAGAAAATACTTAACTAATCACATCCAAGATAGTACGACCATAATTGCAATTTTCAATAAATAATATATAGTCAAAACTACCATATGTGCTGCATTCCTAACTGGCATTATGTGCTGCATGCTGTCATATATGCTGCACTGCTAAATGCCATAAATACTGCATGCATGGTGTCATTCGTGCTGCAATGCTAACTGCCATATATGCTGCAATACTAACTGCCATACGTGCTGCATGCTGTCATACATGCTGCACTGCTAACTGCAATACGTGCTGCATGCTGTCATACATGCTGCAATGCTACTACCATACGTGCTGCACTGCTAACCACCACAGATGCTACAGTACCTCACAACTACTGTACCTCATGCACTGCACTAACGACTGTCTTACGTTCTGCCTAATATGCTGAGTAATTACATACTGCTTAATACAGTCATCTATCCTACCTTCCAATTGTTTCCCATGTGTATTTTGTATGCAGTTTATGTGTAATTGCAGCTTCCCATAGGTTGATATTCTTATCCACATCTTCTGGTGTAGAGGATGCCATGTCACTACTCATGGACTCGTTGAAGCCTTCATCATC